TGCAGGGAGAGTCTCCCAAAGGCAGGGTCCATGTGGATCCCGCACCTGGGGAGGGCCAGGGGCACAGCAGTCTGGGGTGGCCCAGGACTATCCGGCCCAGGGGAGAAGGTGGCTGGAGCCGGAAGCCCTTGACTCACAGCTGCATGGTGGGCTAAGGAGCTACGCCAGGCACCCAGGCAACGTCCGACGCTTACCCAGCGCTTGCCTATAAAACCACCTCGGGACTTCCCGAGCAGGCTGCCAGCCCAATTGTGCAGACAGGGAATCAGAGGTTTGGGGGGCTCCCCTTCAGAAGAGGCCCCACCTGTCTCTGCCCACTCTGGCCTGAATACCCCAGGACTTGGTGACTTTCTGATGCGGCAGGGAGTTGGGGAGTTAAGCTCACCTTGTAAGAGGGAATCTGGCCTTCCCACTCCCTGCTCTGGTGCCCATCCCCGGGGGCTGCCCCACACAGCCCAGAGAGCAGGACTCGGGACCTTTTAGGCGACCCCACCCCCACGCCGCATTCACCCCAGTAGACGGGAATGATAAAAATCCGTTGCCCTGTGGCACAACCCAGTGAATGGCATCCACAACAGCACACCCTTTAACGGATTTTCCCTCGTATTCCCCCCCCATAGTTAGGCACAGAAATCCCACCTGCACCCAGGAAGTGGGGCTCGGAGCCCCGCCCCTCCCGATCCTGGCCCTTTAAACGATCCCCGCCCCTCACATACCGTATTCACCCCAATAGATGGGCACATCAATCCCACCGCTGTGCCAGGGCTGCTGCGCACCCGTCCTGGATGGAAGGGGCTGAGAATGGGCTCTTCACCCAGCAACGGAGGGAAGGGACAGAGGCGCTGGCCACTGAGGCCACCGAGCACGCTCAGTGCAGCCCCTGCACAGCTGAAGGCCCCGCTCCCTCCTGGCTGGGGCGGGGTGGGGGTGCTCTGTCAGAGGCCTGCTCTTCCTGGGCTGGGACAGGCTCCAAAGCCACCCTGCGGCCTACACTGGGTGTCCAGTCTCCCCGGGCCTTGGACGAGGAGAAGGTGAACCCAGACTGGTGCAAAGGGCAGCCTGGCCAGCGGCCTGCGGGGTGGGGTATGCCCCCGATTCCCTACGTTTCTCATTTAAGCTTTATAAAAACCTGTATTCCCCGAGGGAACTGTCCAATTGTTGAGCCTCGACTTCCCCCTGCAGGGGTTGCTTCATCTCAGTTTAGGGCCCGAGGGGCTACCTCAGCCAGCACAGTCCACCTGCATCCGCCAAACAAAACATCAGGCATCTCCCGTAGCGAGGCCACTCTGCGAGCTCCATTCCTAATTCAGAAATGACCGGACCTCGGGGAGGGGCTGCACGCTAGCTAGGCCCTTCCCATCCCAGGGTGCAGGGGAAACTCTCTGGTCAGGTCTGGCCAGCAGGGGTTAAGACAGTGTCTCGACTTCTCAATCGCGCTCACACGCCTGTCAACCACCTACTGTGTGCCAGCCCCGGGGGACAGAGCCCTGAGCAGACATTCAGGCAACAGTGAAGGGTGGCAGATGACATTTGCCACCTGCATCCACTGTGAGCCCCGCTCTGGCCCAACTGCTTCTTCCCATTTTAAGTCGTTCAATTAAACAAACACAAGACTGAGTTCATTTCAGATAAAGAGAAGTCAAAACTCAGCAACCCACCATACTGTGGAATGGGTACTGTAGGTCAGAAACAGAGGGTCTCAGGGAAGTGACATCTGAGTTGAGGCCTGAATTAGGTGGAGCCCACCACCTGCTGATCTGGGGGAAGGGCTGCCCGCAGAGGGTAGGGCAAGTGCAAAGGCCCTGGGGTAGGGAAAGCTGGGCCTGGGGCCAGATCCTTGCCCGAAAGGAGGCAGGGAAAAGCGGGCAGGAGCCCGGGTGTCTCGGCCCTGTGGGGCCTGGAAATCGGCACCGACTTACTGAGACCCAGGGCGATTCGGGATTCTGGAAGGCCTCTCAGCAGGCAAATTACACGTTGTGGTTTATCTTTTTAAAGATCATGCTGGCTGCTGGCAGCAGCAGGACTGGGGGGGGGGCGGGCAAGAAAGGGAGCGCTGGGTGGCTGACGTGGACGTCCGGGCAGGAGCCAGTGGGCCGGGAGAGTGTGGAGACCGCACCGGGGAAGAGCCGGCGGAGGTGGGCTGGGAAGTGAGCAAAGCATCTGCTCTCAGCATGGGTGGCTCTGACAGTTACAGGAAAGGCCCCCGGCGTATTCTAGATCCCTCTAAGCTGGCCAAGAACGCTCATGTCCTGAGTGGCAGGAGCCATCTCTCACCGGCTCAGAACCTGGATGGCCGTGGTATGGCTCTGAGGGCCCCAGGCCACCCCCGGGGCCTGGCTGGATGGTTCCCAAGCACCCACCCCCCTGCACCCCTAGGTCTGCAATCCTTGTCACAGCGATTCCCTCTTGGTGGCTCCCTGAAGAAGCTCCAGCTGCCCCACATCTCGGCCCTGCAACATCCCTCGCCTTGGCCGGCTAATTCCCCAGTTTCTTTGCTGGGCAGAAACTCCAAGCTGGGGGCTGCTCCCCTCCTCTCCCATCTCAAGCCCTGGTCCCGAGGACACAGCTGGTGGCCATTGCCCATAGTTGAGATGCCAGCCGGAGGCAACTTCACACGCATGTGCACATGCCCCCAGGGGCCTGGCTGGGGACAGCTGCCATGCTAAGAGAACAACTCAACCCAAAGTCCAAGTCCACTCCCCACCCCGCCCCTCGAGAAGCATGACTCCCTGCCCACACATCACACACCTCCATGGTTACCCAGCCGCGGCCAGGGCCCAGCAGCCAAGGCCCGAGAGCCCTGAGGGACGCTAACCGGCCCAGGGACTGCGTCCTCAGGCCGCGCTGGTTCCCTGAGCTGCGGGTTCGGTAAGTCGTGAGACAAATCTGGCACCAAGAACGATCCTCTGCTCCTTCGCGGCACTCATGCGCAGCACGAGGACATCCCGGGCAGCATGCCTGTCACCATGAGAGGCCAGGGCACTGTCCTTCTGCATCACCCAACAGCGGGACCCCAGCACACGACCGCGCTCACCTGGGCTCCCCAGCCAGCCCTGCCAGCAGCGGGCACGTCCACCCAGCTGAGCGCAGACCCCACGGGGGGACCTGCACCTGACAGCTCCCTCATGTCAAATGGCCAGGGTCCCTCTGTGCTGGGCACCCGGCACCGCGGCCCTTCCACAGCCCCCCGCCCGGGGCCAGAGCTCCACTGCTGGGTCTGCGCTGTTTCTCAGCTGTGGCATCACACACAGAATGGCCTGTCCCTTGGGCAAGTGGGAAGAGGGGCCGCTTAACCCGAATCGGGACAGCACGAGTCCCCCAAGCAGCTGTCGCAGACACACAAACGACTTCGCACCCCTGGCTTGTCAGAGTTTGGCTTCCCTAGCCCGAGCGTAGCACGTCGCATTACTATCGGGCTCAGAAAGCCCCGATTTCAGAAGAGAAACTGATCCCGGCCGTTGCCAGCATAGTCAGTACACTCCCGGCAGGGTGGGGGTGGGGCTGGTGCATCCGGCATTCTGCAGAGACAGCGTCCTCCGAACTCGGCTGATCCATGGCCCGATCGGAGCCTAGGAAGGAGCCTGCAGTGGACACCCAGACGCCTGCACTGCAGCCTCTCGGAGACCAGGCCTGGGCCTGCAGGCGGCAGGGCCCGCCCATCTGCTCTGCCTCGTCACCTTTCCTAAACACAGCCCAGCAAGACAGGCCAGACAGACGCACGCAGCGCCTGCCTCCTGGGCACCCCGCCGGCCGCACACACGTGCGGGCAGACAATAGACTGCAGAGCCGGAGCCCCAGCACTGAAGGGAGCAGCCAGGCACCTGCCAGCCGCCCAGCCCGCCCACCTGCCTCACACCTGCAAAGCCCTCTGGGCTCTCCGTGCCCTGTCAAGTTCAAGGAACAGCCAGGCCCTGCGTAAACAAGGAAGTGAGGTGAACACACGGCAAAGACAGACTGGGTGGTGGCCCGTGATTCTTGGAGGGACAGGGCTCCTCCTCAGCCTGGGACCTTGATCTGCCCCAGTGCAGACAGAGTCAGGAGTGTAGACGCTCAGCCCCAAAGGCTGCACCCACTTGTCCAGGCCCTTGTGTGCCACCGGCCCCTGGCTGGGGCTGAGCCAGCAGGGACAGGCACAGAGGTCTGCCTGTAAAAGACACCTTGAGGGGGCTCAGGCAGGAGGGCAGACATAAGTTACATCTCAGGTTGACAAGAGAGTAGCAAGTTAGTGACGCCCTGGCATGGCCAAAGAGAGGAAATCCACCCAGAGGCTCCAGCCAGGCCAGACCCGCTCAGCCCCAGCGTGGTCAGGGCAGAGGCGCCTCCTCCCTGGAGGACCTGTCCACACCGGCCCAGCTGTCTGGGGTGGGGGCCGGGGGAGGGGGGACAGAGCACCCGGGAAGCCCAGGCTGGGCCTGTGCCTGGGAGGGGCTGCCCGCCTCCAGCCTCCCACCTGCACGTCCCACCCAGGGACGCCAGGGAATCCCCAAGTGCACAAGACCCTCTTGGAGACTCAAGTCCTCCCAACAATTTTTGAGGCTCCGTATCTTTAGGGGCAGAGCCCCACTCTGCGGACCCAGGCAGGCCCCTCCGAACCAAGCCGCGAGCTGGTATGCCAGACACCGATCCCAGACCCCATCCAGATGCGCGTCCCGGACCCCCGCCCCCTCTAGACCCCGGTCCGCTGAGCCGGGGTCTGTGGCGGTCGGACCCAGCCACCCTCCCTCCAGTTCCGGCTTCTTTAAGCCCCACCGAGTGGAGCCGGGCTGGGCGCGCGCTCCCACCACGGGCCCACCGCGCCCAACGCGCCCGGCGCCGACCCGCCCGGCCGGGACGTCCGCAGGCGCCCCAGCTGCCGGCCCGCGACCCGGGCGGGCGCTCTGGCACCGGCAGGGCCGCGGGTGCTCCCCGGCCCTGGTGCGCGGGTGCGGCGTGGCTTCCCGACCCCGCCGCCGCCCCCGGCCTCCCGCCGCGCCCCCCGGCCGCCGCGCCGCCGCGCCTACCGTGCAGCCAGCTCCGGCTGGGACCCGGCGCGCGGGGGCTCCGCAGGCGGCGCGGGCCCGGCCGCAGGAAATGCCAGAGGACGGATCCGACCGCGCGAGGCGGAGCGAGGGAGCGGGAGGAGGCCGAGCGGGCGAGGGGGCGGAGGGAGCAGGGCGCGGCGGCCGCAAAACCCGGGCGGATCGGCCGCGCCGGAGCGGGCGCCGCGGGGACCCCGCTCCTGGCCGCGCGGGCCGCCCTCCCCTGGCGCGCTCCGGGGCTCCCGCGCACGCAGACGGCCACCAGTCAGGACGCTCCGCTGAAAGTGGCCACGAGGCTGGGCGGGGTGCACAGAGGCGAGTGGGCTCAGCCTCCTGGGGTTCTCGCATTTAGGGGTGCACGCCCCAGCCCACCCTAGCCAGGGTGAGGGGCCTCCTCTACCTTCCTGAGCCCAGGAACCTGCAACACTTTCTCCCTCAGTGACAGAAGCCACCAGAACACAAGGGGAACCCCAGAAACCCGAGCCCATTGTCCCCGCCCTGTATGTGCTAAGGACCCTCTGCCTCACTGCACGTTTCCAAGTGCACCTCTCGGTCCCAGCTCTTTGGCTAAGAACCCACCCCCTAGTGGATTTCATCCTGTGTTGCCCCTCATCCCTTCTGCCCCCCACCCCAGACCTTTTTAGACACTTCTCCCCCCAGTCCTCTTGCATAGTAAAGACATTTTTCCTAATGCCTCTGAACAGCCCCCAGACAGAGCGGAGAAGCCCTTCCCAGGCCCATAGGCCCTGAGCGGGTGTGAGCTCCTGGGTGACCCCAGCAGGAGCCCCCAAGCCTGAGGTGCTCTGGGACCCTGCTAGGTCCTTCTTCTGGTGTCTGTCCCCAAGTGGCCAGGCGCGTTGGGGGCTGGGCCCACTTTCTTAAGCATGTCCCCAGACACAGGCAGGACTTGGGAGGGTAAGGAGCTTTTTCCAAACAGAACTTTAAAAAGAACAGGACTGACCCTCAGCCGTGAGCCCCAGCCTCCTTCCAACAGGCGCATTTCCACGTCTTCACGCCCTGGTGGGCTGCAGGTGCATTCAGGGCCCCCAGGCCTGGGGATCAGGGACATGATGCCAGACCACCGGGCAGGGCTGTGGTTGTGAGCCTGCGTCCAGCTGCCCAGTCCCTGGAGCTGGAGCGACAACATGCAGGTGCTCTGCCCCCAGCCAGCCAAACCCCTTCTTCCCCCCCTGAGCCTCAGCCATGCCCAGCCGGCAGACCCCCTGCTGGGTCTCCAGCTGGGGGCAGAAGATCAGCTGTCCGATGGCCATCGGGAAGGGCACGGGTTAAGGAGGCGGGTGGGCTGCCTGGACCTGCTCTAAGCTTACCCCGGGGCCAGCTTCGCCCAACCCCACGGTCACCTTTCGAGGCCTTGGAATGCAGAACCGCTCAGACAAGATGCCCAGCGCCATGGTGGGACCCTGCTCCGCGTGGCCCACAGCAGGCGGAGGCCTCCGCCTCTCCAGGGGAGCGTCTGCACAGCGTGGGACGGGCGGAGAACAGCCGGTCTGCTCTTCGAAGCCTCTGCCCAAAGCTGGGGTGCCACTGCTGGAGCTGGGAACATTGCTGGTTGCCGGGGCCAGTCCGCAGGGAATTGGGGAGGAAAACAGATCCCCTATCCTCTGGGGCGTAGGTCTCAGGGGCCACAGGAGGGCAAGTTGCCAGGCACTTCATGCTGGTTGTGTGGGGCCTAGATTTCGTGAAATGACACTACTGAGGGCAGAGGTCAAAGGGGCACCTGGCGGAGTGTGGGAAGGGCCCAGGGATGACAGCAGGGCAGGGGCTCGGGGGTGGAGTCTGGATGAAGTTTGAGCCCTTCTGGGGTGGAGTCCGCCAACAGCCAGATGGCTGCAGGAGAAACAAAGCATGTGCCACCTGCTGGGTGCAGTGACAGGTGCCAGCCGCAAGGCAAGCTCCTGACTCGCCAGGAAGCCCCTGGCAGCCTCTTGCCTGGTTTTGGAGAGGCCGCGAGGTGAAGGGGACACCCCTGACTACTAGAGGTGCCGTCTGAATCCTGCTGCCGCCCCAAAGTGGCTCTATCATCACTGGGTGGCTAGCGCCTTGTTCCTTCTGGGCCTTGACGTCCTCAGCTGTGAAAGGGACCCTGCACGTGAGCGGGTGGCCATCGCAGGAAACGGCACACGAAAAGCCTCAGAGCCTGGGGAGCTGGTGCTGATGGCACCAGCTTTGGGAGCACAGCTCTCAGGCCTTGGGTGGGTTCGTGCCGCTCCTGTGCCTCAGTTTCCTCACCCGTAATAGGCAGTGATGCCGACAGCAGTTTCCACCTGGCGGGCTGCCGTGAGTCCCCAGGGAGCGCTGGCCTTGAGGGAACGCCGGGGGCCGAGAGGCCAGCTGCGGGGAGGAGCGGCTGGCACCGCCCGGCTGCGCAGCCCGAATTTGCAGCCCAGACAGGTGTGTCTGCCGCGCGAGGTGTGGAGGGGCAGGCAGAGCACAGTCCAAGGGCGGGACTGCCTCGGTCCAGCTGCCCAGGACAGCGGTTCTCAGAGGGGCGGTTGTGTGGCGGTTGTGTACGCAGGTGGCACTGGGCAATGTGGGGACACAGTCTCGGCTGTCATGATTGGGGGTGCTGGTGGCATCTAGCAGGTAGAGGCCAAGGGTGCTGCCTCGCACCCAACAGCACAGTCGCCCCCACGACAGAGAGCCGGCGGCCGCAAAGGCTGGTGGCGCTGAGGCTGAGAAACCTGCTCCAGAAATCACCACGCTGGCAGCTGCTGGGCTCGCGCCTGGGTTCTGGGCGGCTGGCCTGTAGGGGTGCAGGGGGGACCCCAAGGCCTCCTGTCGTGGAGCCCCTGCCCGGTCCAGGTTCTGTGCATTTCATCTCCTGACCACGTGGGGTGAATGTCACAGCGGTTGGCACCTCCTCACACCGGATGCCTTTCCCCTTTCCCAGGGCTTTGGACGCAGGACTCATTTCATCTGCCCCACAGTCCTCTGAGGCTGGTTTTGTCATAGTCAGCTCCATTGTACAGGTGGGGAAACCGAGGCAAAGCAGGTGAGTAAGGCGGGGCTCCCCAGTGCTTGGGCTGCAGAGCTGTGCTCTACACCGCTGTGCTCTGCCGCCCAGTAAATGACGATCCAGGCTCAGAGGAGACCCCCGGAAGCCCCGGCCTCTCCGGCCACGCCTGGTTGCATCCCTGGGAAAGCTGGAGTGGCCAGGACATGGTGGAACATGCCTGGGCCACTTCCAGAGAAGGCCCCTCCAGGGATGCCTTCCTCAGGGCTCCGGCGTGGCGAGTGTGGTCACGAGGCAGAGAGACAGGTGTGGGGCTAGGTGCTTTCACACCTATCACCTCATTTAGGCCTCGCCAAGCCAGCTGCAGCAGCAGTAGTGATTTCTCCCCATTTCACAGATGAGGAAACTGAGGCCTGAGTAGTTAGGGGCACAGCTGGGCTTAGGTTGGGTCCCCGACTCCTCGTGGGGCACCTGCCCTGTCACTCCTGGCAGCAGTGGGTGAGTCTGGGCTGGCTGCCCTGAGGGCAAACCCACTCGGGCTCACCTGCTGTGAGCGCCTGGCTCGGGGTCCCAGGTTGCTCACCTGGGCAACAACCCTCCCAAAATAGGCGGTGGGGCTGGGTGAAATTCAGAGTCCCTGGATGTGCTCCGAGACATGAGAACTAATTGTATCAAATGCTCCCCGTGTGCCTGGCACCCTGTCCTCAGCTTTGCATGTCTGACCACTTGCATCCTCCTGTGACCTGCAGGCCCGGGGTCACCAGCGTCCCCTCATACAGACGCTGATGGCTCGGGCAGTGAAGCACCCAGCTCCTGGCCTGGCAGCTGCCGAGTGGCCGAGGCAGGACTGGAAGCCAAGCCAGTGCCCAGGCCGCAGGAGGCGGGCTGCCCCTCGCCACGCCCCCGGCTAGAGGGGGGCATGAAAAGAAAGGGGCCTCCTTTGGCCTCAGCTGCACCACCCACCCAGGCTCTGCTGGTCCAGGATCCCGTGGTGGTGCAGGGCTGGGGCCCTGGGGAGGAACAGGGAGGCGCCATGTCCCCACTTGTGTCCTCCTCCTCTCCCAGAAGGGACGGGTTGGTGGCGTCTTCCTGGGCTGAGTCACGAGCCAGGTGTGGGGGGCGGGGCGAGCGGCGCCCATTCTGTCCTCTCCCGGGGTACCTGCCTGCCGGGTTCCGCCTGCCGCAGCTGGGGCTCCCTGGCTGGGCGGCTGCTCCGGCTCTGTCTCTGACTGTCGCACACGCGTGTGCACGCACACACACACACACACACACACACACACACACACACGTGCGCATGCACAGCTGTGTTCCAGAAAGACACATTTAACAAACACCTGATTGTAATAAAACCATGGAATTTCCCCGCCCCTCTTGGTGACAGTGCTTGGGCTCCTGCCTGAAAGGACGAGAAGATGCTATTTCTAGGGCAGAAAGCTCGGCAGGACTTTTTTTTGCAGGGCTGTGGGTTTTTTTTGCAGGACTCCGTGGGAGGCGGAGGAGGCGCTGGGAGGGGGTGAGAGCGTGCGCGGAACGTCACCAGGGTGCGAAGCCAGTCCTTGGGGCCCTGCCTGCGGCCCTGCTGTGCGCGGCTGGTCCTGTAGCACCCTCCCCAGCACCTGCCTGTGGGGGGCGGGGGCTCCCAGGGACACTCAGGGGAGGTTGGGGACATGCCTGAGAACCCTCACAAGGTGAAGAAAGAAATGCCCGGAGTTCCCGACTGCCGGCCAGGGCCTGGGCTGCCCAGGGGCAGCTGCCAGGGGCTGGTTTGTGTTTTTTTTTTTTTTGAAACAGGGTCTTGCTCTGTTGTCCAGGCTGGAGTGCCCTGGCACCATCGTAGCTCACTGTGACCTTGAACTCCTGGCCCCCAGGGGTCCTCCCGCCTAGGCTGCCAGAGGGCGGGCACTGCAGGTGTGGCCACCTGCCGGCCCGTTGCCCTATAGCCTCCTGTCCAGGCAGCAGCCACGCCCAGTGCAGAAGCTGGTTCCAGACGCTGAAGTGGCTGCTCGCCTGTCACCGTCGGCCTGCGGGGCTGTGTCTGCCATGGTCTTCAGTGCTCCTGTCCCCACAGTGGGGCCGGAGGCGTGAGCAGGGCAGGGTGGGGGAGGCC